ATCACAGCCCTCCTGCTCACGACTGTACCTCCAAACCCAGCTCAGCACCTTGTCTTAACAAATGCTCAACAATCACTTGATGAATAACTCTCAAGATCATTTCACATAACATCCTTAAGGTGTACAGATGAAAAGGCTCAACAAGTCTTTAAAATGCCTGTAATAGGGAACTCATAAAAATTAAACATAGATAAATGTCACCATGGAAAAATGCTTTTTTAATCTTTCAGTTTTCAAATTTGGGGTAATCTTTACAATTCAATAAAAAGAAGCATTTGCTAAACTGACTGTGGACAGATCGAATTCAAATGCTAAAAACAAATTCCTCTTCAAGGTTGTATCAGAACTCAGAGCTCACACAATACACCTGCCATACCTCAATTTCTTTAACATTTTTCTTCATGATTAGCCCTGAGCCCTGTGCTATGACTCTTCTTTCCTTTCACAATGATTGTGTCACTAGATCCATCTACAGAAGGTTAGTAAAGCAGTCATTTCTGCAAAATTGACTGAGCCCAGAAATGACTGATGTGTAAGGGCCATTAATTCTATGAAATAAAACCAGCTTTCAGTTGGTAACAATAACTAATCTTCTGATGGCTGTTTCTTGGACTATTGCCTGCCATATAGCTACTGGTCATAAGACTTCAAGTGCTTACAGGAAGATAGGTTTCTATTAGCTTTAAAGACAAACCAGAACTTTAGGAAACTGATTTAATTAGCACCCCCAATTTTTTATATAACTGCCTGAACAAAAGTAACAATGTTTTCCACAAAATAGTAAATAATTTTAAATTTGAAACACTGAAGTATAGTGATTGACAGTCCAGATTTAAAATACAAAAGAAAACCTTGTCATAAAGGAAATCAGACAAGCGGAGAGTGACCTCTGTGTACTCAGCCAGGACTGACTCGATGTCAACCCTGCGTCATCTGCACCCTGCCCACTTTCCCCGAGCGTAGTCTGTATTATTTTGAAGTAAATCCCAAGCTTCATATAATTTCACTTTTAACTATGACACTTCAGGGACACAGACACCAACTGAGTCAGCTCCCCCAATGCCTGGCTGTGTGACAGTGGACAAGTAACTGAAGTTCTCTATCTGCAAAATGGGAATAATAAATGCTACTTTTCAGCATTACAGTATGGATGGAAGGGAGATGAGGCAGCTAAGGAGCAGAGCACCTAACACGGGCACGCAGAGGTTACCTGAAATGGTCACCGGGCTTACTGTTACTGTAAGAGCATATTAGGCTATGACTCTTTCTGACTCATTTCCAATGAGGCTCACAAAGCAAACAACAGACACCAAGTTTTCTTATGTTTTTAGAAGAGATGCTAAATGCTCTCTATGCTAAGCTTGTAGAGAAATTAACAATTTAAAAAAATCTGATTGTTTATTACTCCTTAGCCTAATATTTACCTCTCGGAGTTTAAGGGTAAAGAGGTCCAGAAAAAACTCTCTGGATAAGGGCTGTGGGGTTTCCACCATCCTTCACAAGGGAGAGGAGAAAGTACTTTCCTATCCCCTAAACCAAGAGAGAGGGGTTTGGGGGATGGGGGGCGGCTAAAGAATATAACCTACTTGCCTTGGAAACGGTGGGTGTCAAGCCTGGTATCTGCCCACACCTAATAAAAGGAGCGGGATGGAGCCGGATGTGGCGGCTGAGCAGAGGGCCTCAGAGCAGGAGGTGGAAGCCAGCACCTCCTGCAACAGCCGAGGGGCCCCTATCCTAAAGGCTGGCTTCCCAACTTCAGGCAGGCTTGAGCAGGGGAAGGCAAGATTTATTTTTTTAATCAAGTTCAAAAGGAACATTTTTAGGACTGAAAAAAAAGACCCCTTTTGTAATCTAAGTGGCAGAAAGAGTTACAGGATATTTATCATGTGTGTGTGTGTGTGTGTGTGTATGAGAGAGAGAGACTCAAATGATATTTACAGGATGGATCTTCCATCCAGAAACAATAAAAGAAACAGAGGAATGAGCTCAAAGGGGGAACTGAGCGAAAAATGAAGTTGTTGCATCCCTTTCACCCCATGTTGCTCAGCCTCTTCAATGTAACAGCTACACGATACGTTCAATAGCTGAGCCAGAGTATAAAAGAGCAAGGAATGCCTTTATAAAGATTAATGAACTATAGACAGTCCACATAGTAAACTGTATAAACAGTGTATAATCAAATACTAAACTATGCCTTTCTAAATACAATAAAAGTTCTGAGGACATATTAGAAAAACCGTTCTTTTTATCCTTTTTCATTTCTTTTCTACCCACTCTTCCCAAAAGAATGGAACAAGGGGGAGGAAGCAAAAGTTGCTGAAGAGACAAGAACAGAGGGAGAAAAAAGAGGGTGATCATTTGCCCCACGGGTACTGGGCAAGGGAGAACAACTCCACGGACAAGGCCCAGCACTAGGTACTACAGTACTTAGCAGGACAAGGCAGTTTTCTGTCCTTAAAGGATCTGGACTAGACATACAGCAACAATGTGAGATTAATGCAGTCTTTTGGAGGTGAGAGAGGGTGGCGAAGGAATATGATAATGAAAACAGCCCAAGGCCCAGTAAAGAATCCTGGTAAAGGCCACTGTGGAGTTGGGTTAAGCAAATTTGTGGCTCTTTTTGTTTATTTATTTATTTATTTTTATTAAGGTATTATTGATATACACTCTTATGAAGGTTTCACATAAAAAAACAATGTGGTTACTATATTCACCCATATTATCATGACCCCCTCATATCCCATTGCAGTCACTGTCATGGCTCTTTTTAAATGCTGATCTACTCAGTCAGTTAAAATGAAATATTCTATAGATTCTGAAGCCTCCCTACACTGGTTTTGGAAACTCGTTCCATTTAAGATCAATATTTCCTTGGGGGAAAGAAATATTCATTATGTTCAACTATGGAATCACTAACCTGACCTTTATAATAAAAGGTATAATCACTGTCATTGCATTTTGAACTGGACTAGGCACGAATTCACTCTTGGAAAACATTAAATGTCAAACCAGAGCTACCCCAAATTATGGGGTGTCCAGAGATATGAAACTCTTCACCAGCAATAATGACATCCCATACAATCCACCTGTACAAATGGAGGTTACAACCCCCATCCACAGACTGACATCCCTGTACTTATGGTGAGAGTCCTAGACAATACAGTTCCTGTTTCAGCACCAACTAGCCACAAGCCAAATTAGCCACAGGACATACTACATACACTTTAAGGAGGGGGGATGAGACTCATTTTCAGCACACAGGCCTCCAGTGCATCAGATCATATTTTCTGTTGCTATCCTGACATAGCTGATAAGACTATTTCCAGTCAGATTGATGATGACTAAAAAGCTGAGTTTAAATTTCAATTTTCACCTACTAAAACTGTTAGAGTAACTGATTACCATCTAAGTCAAGGCAATCAAATTTGTTTTTGGTTATGCAATCAGAGAACTGATTACTTTTCAAATGAAAATCCAGAGAACTCGATTGCTTTCCAGAATAAAAAAATAGCAACTGTGTGTGTGCATATGTGTGTACGTGCACGCACACAGGCACGGGGGTTTTGCCAGTTTTCCATCTGGAAGCCATGATGTAACAGCATAATCGCAAACTGCATTCTGTTTAAATCTATGACTAACATGCAGATGATCTAGCATGACTTCAGCAAGAAATTTAATTGTGACGTGTACTGCAAGTTCAACAATCAGTCATTTATAGTAGGTTGATCTTTCAAGGTATGTTTTGCAATTCAAGAAATATCTTGGATGGCAGGCAAGATGAAATTACATGCAAAAAAACAAAGCAGTTTGCTTCCCACTGTTAAGTTAAAAAAGACAAATTTCTCAAAGGTAGGTAGGTGCTCTCCTATCCTCCGATCAACAACCCTTCGAGATAAAATACAGCTAGTCTAAACCAACTAGATTAATAAAAAGGCATCTTTCACTTACTATGATTCATTTTTACAATTAGTGTCTTCTTTAAAAGCATCTACTTCAAATGCGACCTTTTCCCCCAGGGCAAAAACACTATAGGTTACACAGAAGTCAAAGAAAAACCCAGGCACACCTTCAGGAGAGACAAAAACCATTGGATGTGATTCTTCCCTTGAAGTCAATGAAGCCACCTAGGTGTAAAGAGAAGAACTTCCTTTCTTCCCCCTTACCCCAAGTCTGAAAACTAAGCCCCCAGAAGCACCTGTATCTAAGGACAGAGCAAGGACGAGATTTCCCAGAGAAGAATATAAGATGGCCATGAAGTATACAAAGTGACTTTTAAATAAACGTACCAGGACTAATCCAGTCAAATGGATCTTGCCCCCTTTGAAGTCATACCTTAGAAATTTTACATTTAATCCAAAGATGCTGTTACAGGAACTTTGGAATATGTTTCAGGGCTTGCAATTTCCCACATCCCTAAAGCTAGCAAATATTTGTCTTTTCAGACTGGATTTAGCAATAGTCAGAAGTCTTCAGAGGAGCTGTGCTTTTCTTTGGAAAGCCATTCCTCACCTCCCAAGTCCAGGTTCCGTGCCCCCTCCATGTGATGGCCGTAGGTCCCCCAGCAGAGGGTTTTGCACACCATATTGGAACGGCTTGCTTATTTATAATTTGGGAACCTGGCAAAACTGTAAATTTCCTAGGAGCAGGGACTCCATCTTATTATTATTATACCCACAATCCTAGCATAATGCCTAGAAAATTATAGGCATCCAAGAAATAATGAATGATGCAATCGACTATAATACAAAATGGTTTGGAATACTGTGTGTACCTTCTCTATCTACTCTCTCCACTCCTCTCATAAAAGAGTACCACAACCTTCCATGTTATGATTTATCTGTAAAGAGGGACTACTACTTTATATAAACAGGAGGAAAAGTGGTTGGATTACATGATTTCCATTACCTATTATATACAGAAAAATAAAATCATGATTACATCCTCACACTAAAAACTTAGAAAACATTTTCACTCTTAAATCTGCAAGCATAGTTTCTTACCTAGTTGCAGTATCTTTATAGTGTCTCTGTAGGCTTTCATCACCAATTTGAAATGGCGATACAGTGGGTAGCACAAAACTCTTCTTCCAAAAGACACCAGGATTTCATGAACATCAGTCCAAGTCTGTGAAGCATCGTTTAAATAAGTAAGCATTTCTATATTACACAAAAAATACACAACGAAATATAAAACTATTCGTTATTAAAAACTCTAGGCCTGGATCATCATTAAGCCAAGTAGAGGACAAATAATAACTGTGAAATGAGACTCCTTCTATATACCTTACAGTAAAATGCTGAATTGTAGTCTTTGTACTTCTTCATATCAACATACCAAAAATGCTCCTTAAAAATCACATATGTAGCAGGAAAGCTTTAAAAAGTCTTTTAAGAATTAAAATAGGAACCTAAAACACATGGCAGTAACAAAATACAGATGTACATAAAAGACATTTTTAAATGATACATATTTCATGTTTTATAAGATGGTGTAGATAAAAGATATAGAGCTCTTTAGTGAAATGTGTTCAGTCTCCCTCTTTTTTTGTTGCTTTTGAGCATGACCGATACATGGTATTTACTTCAGTAATTCGCTGTTACTCATCAAAGAGAAAACTACCGATTTCTGGAAAAAATGTGTTTCATCTTGAATAGTGTCAAACTGGCACCACTGGTAATTCAAAACACTAGACAAAGCCAATTTTATATGAAATTGTTTTTTAATTGGGTTTTATTTTTAAAATGCATAAAAAAGATGACCTATATAAAATTTCAAGTATAAAAGTAAAACCAAGGGGTCATCATAATTTCCATGAATGTTAATCTGTGACAAATGAGAGATCTGATTAAGAATACCGAGAATCTGACAAAGAATAATTTATATCTAAGAACAATTATGGGCTTTTTAATTTAAAGATTCTAGCAAAAACTGAAATACTTAAAAAAGTTTCACATAGCTATTAACATGTCTGACAATTCTAGGTTATCTCAAAAACAACAAAAATTTCGAAATGAAATCATAAATAGATGTATTTATTCATGTAGATTTTAATAACTGACTATGACATTACCTAGCTAACAACCTTTGTTTTCAACCTAAGTTACCATGCAATTATTACAAAAACCAGTTTGTCCAGATGCTGATTATGACAATAAGTAGAACTCCAAAGAAGTCCAGATAATGGTGTTTCTTCATCTTTAGTATGATTTTGCTACAGATTCTGATTCAGTGGTTTTGGATTGAGATTCTATCTTTCTAACAAGCTCCCAGCCAAGAACTGGTCAAGCTGTTAGTTCATGGACCATTCTTTGGAGTAACAAGATTCTCCGATTAAGTGTTTCAGTTCTTGTTCATATCTTATCTATTACTTGAATAAAGTGATGCCATGAAAAAAACATGACTTTACAACTTAAAATGCACTGTATGGAGGGTTTAAACAGAAAAAAACCCAAAACCTTAATTGATGATGCAATTATCAACTGACACTTTTTTGAAGTTTCTACTTTTAATTACTGCTTTCGTGTGTTCAGAACCAGTTTGCTCAGAACCAGTTAAGTTTAAAGATATCATTTTTGGGTATTTTTGGTAAGACCTACATAATTATTTTCTACAAAATAGATATAGAAACAGATATTATCATAGTAGAAGAGTTGTCAGATCTAACCACGCTAATTGCAGAAACTGGGATAAGAAATTTAAGCTATATATGATCTAAGTTCCCTCATCTGTAAAATACCATACTACTTCTCTCACAGACTTACTGGAAGGAACAGGTGAGGTAATACATACAAAACACACAGCTCAGTTCCTGGGTTCAATGAGTGGCAGTTAGTAGTGTTATCAGCTAGAAAATTTGCTTCCCACTTCTGAGCTCTGAGCCAAAATATCTGCCAACTTACAAAGATGCTTCAAAAACTGCACCCCACATGCTCCCCCACAGACCATGTGCCCGTTCTTTCTCCAAAGTATGTTCTTCCTCTCCCAACTTCCAAAAATACCTTACCTGGCTTCATTTATATCCTATGCTTAGAGTAAGGATAAGAAATGGAACCAGAGTTTTATTAAAAATATGGGGGGAAATGTACAATAAAGCTTCTGCTTTTAAAAGGTCAACAAATTGTTTGCATTACCCAAATGAACACATGACAACAGAAAAATAACTGTCTGAACAATTGGAACTGAAAAAATCATACCTCAAACCAGCACAGTGTAGAACTCAGTTTTCGGATATTCCATGCAGATTCAACCTTTATTTGTTTTGGGTAAAAGAATACTGTCATGTTAGAGGTAACATCATTCAAAACCAAAGCAAATATATCCATGTACTCATTTAATAGTGTCTGAGTAGCACTGACATAGATAAGGACTAAGAAGTATCTATGACTGTGGAAAAATAATTGCTCTGCAGAGGCTCTCAAAGGCAAGTTTCTGTCTCCTTTCCTTGGGGTTTTATAAAGTAAAGCTTTTCCACCGATAAGAGTACCAGAACACAAGAGCAAATAAGAAGGAGCTTTGAAAATAAAAATTAAAGCAAAGTGATGCTTGCTCAATTTCTGTCCTTCTCAACTATGTTACTTGTCTCCCAAACATTGTATAAATGACCTACCAAAGGACTCAAAAGATAATGCTCAAGTGCTGTCTGTGGCACTTAAAAAGCTGCTCAAGAATTTGGCCTTTCAGAGAATGCTTCTGAGAATAAGTGCTTTCTAGGGAAGGTCTTGAATCTGCAAGACTTCATTGTTTCAAGTAGGGAAATACAAAAATGATAAATTTTATCAAATATAACAAAACACTCTCATTGATCTTCTCAAGCAATAATATGAAGCATTTTTTTTGTCAAAGAAAACATTTTCTCCAATTATAGTACCCTTAAAAGATAAGTAGAAACAGACACCATTTTCAGCTATAGTATGCCCTTGATAAACTCATTAATACTCATTCTGGAATCAAATGCAAATCTCAATAGTCACCTTTGAAATGTTCAGAATCATAACAAAACTCTGGCACATATCTAATTGTAATCCTAATCCTGTGTTAATGCTATGATGTGGAGTGACAAAAGCAGATTAAACAAAGGAATATACATTATGACCCAATGTAAATATACATACATACATGTGCCCAAAGAAGACTGGAAGAAATACATCACCTTGGCTATTTTTGATGGCTGAAATTATAGGAAGTCTTATTATTTTCTTCATGTGTGTATTTTCCTTTATAATGATATGAATTACTTACATAATTTAAAAAATGGAAAGCATATCATCAGCTCAAAAATAACCTTTGAGCAAGGACAATTATAAACAGCTGCAGGGAAGCATTAATTAGCTGGAAAGACTTTTTTTTTGGTTTTCCAGGTGTTTTTTTAAATATACAATGTGATATAGGTGAGAAATTTATACAAAATCAAATGTAGCTTAAGAAAAGATACAATAAGATCTGTTATTTAATCTATTATTAAAAAAGATAATTTAAGAAATAATGCACTTTACAAAAGGATTTACTTTTACAACAGGATTTCTCTAAAGAGCAAAAAAGAATTCAGGTTTTTAAAAATCTGATCTACATATATTTCAGAAGCATACATACTATATAAATTGAGGGACACCTGCAGATAAATGTTCAGATCCAGGTTTTTGTAAAATTCTGTGTCTTGACAGCTCAGAGAAAGAATACACATGGTTCTGGTAATGTTTATCCCTTGCCAATGTCAAGTGTCAGGTGGCAACAGTCCTTTTACTTGGCCAAGTCATCTCCTAAAGAGATGAGATCTCAGAATATCCTCCTTTTTTTAACCCTCAGGTTCACTCCCCTGCTCTGCTTTGGTATAGTCTGATGCCCAGAGAGAAGAGGAAAAGATGAATAAGCAGTATGCTTTCATGTTGGTACCCACCACCAACCCACACACGCACGCCTGCCTGAAGCACCTCCTAAAAAACTCAACATAACAGGTCTGGCTCTCGACAGGAGGTCTGACGCCTTTATACAGCTTACTGAGTACAGAGTCGTCTGTGCCAACATGCACAGACACATGTGCACTTACATTCTGCTCCCCTTCGGTGACTCGAGTTTCATAGCAATATGCCAGGAGGATATCAATCAAACTGTAGTATACATGACGATGGGCTCCCTTGTCCAGCAAGTAAGATTTATTGACAAATTTTCGCAGCTGATATTTCTCTTCTTCAGAAAAAGACACTAGAAGAAAATGTATTTAAATATTAGATGTTCCATTATTTTATGGAAGATTTTTCAGAACTTCGGTTATTATAGAAACTGAAAAAGCAACTCTCTAACTCTGAATATAGAAATAACTTTTTAACTGGACTTCACAGGTGTATAAAGGCTATGCATTTGCTCAAACTCTGCAGAGCTAAATGAAGGAGAAATGTCTAAACAATACCTACTTTTTTTTTTTTTAACTCTTATGTCTAGACTGCCTAGTTTTTTTGCTACACTATTCTGTAATCAAAGCATCTAAATGCTACTTAATTGACTTTAAAATTAAGACAATACATTTTGACAACAGAAAACACATAATGGCTAAACAAAGCATTCTACAGATATTCATTACCCATTTTTTAAGTTCTATACAAAAAAATGGGAATATTCCCATGTATTAGTCAATTTTAAGGGCACTGGATTTATTTTTTAATATTTTTTACACAAAGAAACAAAGTTTTACCTAAATACACAAATGTGACCACATCACACTTATTAGACTGTGAACAGAGGATGTTTCTTTTTGAGAGTCTATTTTCCTTCTTTTGCTTGTCACCCTCGATTTTCAACTAGTCTGCCCCTCCTTAAAAATATAATAAATATCATTTCAGATTTTTCTCTACAACCATGTAATATAATACAGACAAGCAAACATGCATACAAGGGAGCTTATACCTTTTCCCCCCAAAGAATTGGATCATTTTTGTCCATCTACCCTATCTCACTCAACACTCTGGCAAATCCCTCTAAGTCAATTGGTACTTAGCTGATTTTTATAAAGGAGTAGAATATTCCACGGTGTAGCATGCTCTGTCCAACCACTCCCCCTACTGATGGGCATTAGCTTTGCTTCCAGCTTTCTCCCACCGTTAATAATGCTGCAGTAAATGTCCTTGTCATATGTTTTTGGATACTAGAGATGTTATTTCCATAAAATGGATTTCCAAAAACAAATTTACTGGGTTGAAAAGTTTATCTGTTTTCTAAAAGGTTAAAGGCTACAACCCTTCTTTCTAAGGATCATGGATAGAAGTTTTGTTTCCCACACATCTCTCACCCCTTCCATAAAAGGTTAAAGGCTACAACCCTTCTTTCTAAGGATCATGGATAGAAGTTTTGTTTCCCACACATCTCTCACCCCTTCCCAGCAATAAATGTAATAGCAGATATTTTTTTTTATGGTTTCCAGTTTAACAGACAGGAAGTGACTTGGGAGGAAGGTTCTAAGATGACTCCCCCAGTGAGCCATGTCATGTGAGTTTGAGCAGAACCTGTGACTTGCTTCTCTCCAAAAGACTACAGACACAGTGATTGTACAGTCACTGTCGTGGTTATGGTCCACTGTGAGCCGACCGGAGCCAGACACTCACCTGCTGGTTCTGAAGAAATAAGATGCCAAGAAATAAGAGGTAAGAGGACCACATGGCAAGGAAATGGGGGGGCCGCTAAGATCTGAGGGTATCCCCACCTGACAGCCAGCAAGAATGCAGCGGGTTCTATGTTCTACAGACGTAGCAATGGAATTCTGCAAACCCTCATATGAGTCTGGAAAAGGACTCTGAGCTCCAGAAAGGAACATAGCTACCAATACCTATTTTAAAAAAGAAAAAGAAAGATTGTCATATTTGTCTACAGCCTTGGAGGACCCCGAGCAGAGGACCCAGATAAGTCATGCCTGACTCTGATACAATGACATATCACTGTTACTTCGGCTGATGTTTCTCTAATTGCTGACCTTTGAGCATTATTTCATAGGGATGCTGGCAATTTGGATTTACTCTTTTGAACATTACCCATTTAAATGTGTTCTGCCCAATTTTTTCTATTGGATGGCTTGTCTTGTCCAATTTTTAAGAACGCTGTCTATATGAACTCTAGGCATCTCTTCAAATCTACTGACTCTCTGTTGACTTTGTTTATGGGATCTTTTACTACTGAAATACTTATTTTTTTGTGTTGCCAAATTTGGTGTTTTTTTTTAACACATTCTGGACTTAACAGGCTCTGATAGGTTTCACCAACTCCCAAATTGTACATGAAGTCTCTCAGCATTGCTTTAAGATTTACTGTTTCTTTTTTTTTAATTTTAAGTCTTTACTCCATCTGGAAGTTATTTTTTCATATGTTTTAAGATTTCATTTAATTCCAGATGAAGAGTTAATTGTGCCAGCACAGTTTGTTCAATGATCCATCTTTCCCCACTGTATTGAACCACCAACTTTGTCAAATAGATCTGTTGCTTTTCTTGCTAAAAATTACTTCTAAGCGTTTTGTTTTTGCCACTGGCAAATACAATATTTTTCCCCACTTGTAACAAGTTATTGACAGGAGAGAGAAAAGTATTTTTTTATATCTATCAACCACCTTACCAAATGTTGGCTAGCCAGACACAAAAAGCTAAAATACTTAAATGTTACTGATTAAAAAAAAACAACTTTGTGTCTACATGGGTAAGGTGTAAGACTGTAGTTCCTTCTGTTTCCTTGATGTCTACAATTTACAAATTACACGCTATGCTAAAGTATATGTCTTCTCACATTAACAAGAGCATTATAAGTTCCTCATTACCATACTATGTATGTAAAATACATATACAGTCAAATCTTGTTTTAAAGCAAGATTTACAGGAAGAGAAACAGCTAACAACACAGATGTATTCAGTTCTCAGCTAGTATAAGTAAAACATGGCCTACTACTTGATAGCGATTTTTAAAAAAACTTAAGCATCTACATATATTAAGTGACCTCTAAACAAAAGTATTCTCAGTCTCTTACCTTCAAAGTAATCTTTCATTCTCCATGCCCTGTCAAAAACTTTCAAATTCACTTACAAAGATTTTAAGCCTAGTAGAGAGGAGCATTCAGCTTTCCAGTTCTAATACTTCACATCAAAGGAATGACAAAATTACTTTCAAGCCTTTTTCTCAAGGTTTTAGAACTATTTGCTATATTTAAATGATATATACAAATAATACACTTAAACTGTTGTCACAACCAGACCCCCAAATACAGTGGCTTAAATAAAAGAGAAGTTTCTCCCACACGATACCATCTTGAGGGATGATGCAGACCTGGCAGCGCATCAGCATCTCCATCCTAGGACTCCATCTATGGTCCATCACAGCAGCTCCACATTTTCGTCATTTTGTAACCAACAGGAAAAAGGAGTAAGAGGGCAGCAAGAACCTTCTTTCTAAAGATTTGATCCAGAAAGTGTACATAACACATCCACTCACTTTCCATCATCCAGGACTCAGTCCCATGGCCACACCCAGTGGCATAGAAGGAAAGGAAATGTAGTCACCAGCTAAGTGCTCAGGTGCCCAGCTCTAATGCAGGAAGCCTCTTAAGGGAGAAAGACTTAAAAAAAAGACACCTGCTGCCTTTGACACCTTTTCAGAGACCAAAAATTATTAAAATGCCTTTTTAATATTCCCAAACTACTTTCTAGATAGCTAGCTACCCAGCCTCTTTCCATCGCTGCTCAACAAAAGACAGCCCTTCTGCTCATCACAACTGGACCAAAGCCAGAAGGAAGATACATGATTACTCACACCTGATGGCTCCTTTTCACATAGTTTCCCAACTCACTTCTGGCCTCTCTTAGGAGAATTAAGCTTTATTTTTGTTTCAAAGCTTTCCTTCCAGCAGTTCTGCAGCCTGTCCTCTAGGAGAAAAAAATCTTAAATACACTAATTTGAAATTACTAAAAGCAATAATCCATTATCATTAAAATATACTTAGGACAAAAAAAAAGTCTTGAAATTTATTTATATAATTACTTTTTCAACTATGTTAGAAATCCTACATTTAGAAAAATATGAAAAGAATAAAGACATGTATTTGCACAAGTACTCCTTACATAAACGACAACTATGGAAATGCATTTATTGAATTTGCTGGCCAGCAAAATAAAAAAATGTGTACAGTTTTAAACTTACTGCAGGTAGGTGTCGGATGAAGCATTCTTTAAAGACTGACATTTAAAACTGAAATTAACAGGACAGATAAACTGGGTGTTGACTACCTCATTAAAGGGCTCCTATGAAGATCCCCTTAATTTAAACAGAAGCTCTCAGTTCACCTAAAGGGATCTGATTTAAGGAAAGTGTAAGAATTAAGATACTTATTCCATGAAGAAAAGTGTACTTAACAGAGTATTTTAAGACCCAGTATTTAGGAAGAAGGTTTGAGACAGGATTCCCCTAGGTACAGTTTTTGAGATGTTCGTTAATTTACCTAATAGCAAAGTGCCAGGTGTTCATGATGATATTATCTCACTAGAGGAAAGCCTTTACGTCCTAGTTGACTAATAAAGACTTCTGCTTCCACATAATTCTAAATCACAAGATAAGCATGCCAGAACTGTTTAACAACACACCAGCTCAGCTACATGTTTATTCCTTCATATTTAAGTAATCACACCCATACACGTAGAATGGTTTGTAAAGGCTGGTCTGGGAGCTCTGCATTGTGATGTTACATTATCCACATGTAAATGCTTCCACTAAGACACTTTCCAGGGCTGTATGTATACATACGAAAAGCTGACCTGAATGTACTCCTAGTGCCCCGAGCCATTCTTTAAAACACCACCACCTTTTTCTGAGTATTTTTAAGTTTCATTTTGGCCTAAGTAGTTTGCTAATAATAGACAAACATATTTCAATTCTGAAATTCAAGCGAAGAAACCAGAGATAAGAAATAACAATAACAACAAACCAGGAAATCACTAAAGAAACCAAAAGTCTGAGCTCCCTAAGGCCTTTAGCATTAGAGCTGTAAATCATATCACCCAAAGGGGAACTTGGGGTCGTTTGCACACAATCAGGTCTAACCCAGCAGCAGCACCAGAAATAACTACAGAGGCAGGGCCAACAATACTTGGAGGACTGCCACCACGAGTAACATTCGTCAAGCATTTGTATGACTTAGCTACACTACCAAGCAGCTTTGCTACACAGTTCACAACATTTCAGTTAATTATGCTTCCATAAATAATCTGCAGCCAAACAAAGCCTGTGGAAAGCTCAATACATTTGGGGAAGAAACTGGTGCCCTAGCATTGACGCAAATGGCCCAGGACCACCCCCCAACATGAAAAACTCCATCGATACGCTGAAGGACTGCAAAGGGGCTCCCATGAAAATGGCAAGTGACTGTCTCACTTCACTTGGTACATTTTTTACTTTTGTTACTTTTCCATCTTCCCTTCTCTCTAAATTCCCCTCCCAAATATCCCTGTCTTCTGTGGGTCAACAATTAAATCAGCCCTCATCGGGCTGCTCTCAGAGAAATGCAAATCTGCCTATTACATTGTACGCTTTCTGGAACCAGATGAAGGTAACCAGAAGAAAAGGCTCTGCATTCAAAACTTCAGCCTCAGTGGGTAGCCCTGCAGTGCTACGACGTCCAAAGCTGACATTGGCAGTTGGCTCTACAAACACTGACGAGCTCACTGGTGCCCAACAGGACGTCCCTGCTAGGAAGTTCAATGCCTGTTAGGTGTTACGTGGGGTCACACCAAGCAATTATGTGCCAAGACTCTCGGACTGAGACTGACCACTGGAAGATGACATGGGAGATGTGCTGAGTCCATCCCCATGAGACCGAGCACGGGGGAGCACAGCACTTAACACTTCCACTTAAAAGCCTCTGGGGAGAAATTCTGAGATCATCACAAAACTGAAGATGTCAATCAAAGTCTCCATGTTGTAACTCAGGACTACAATAAAAATGACAAGAATCATAACCAAGGCAAAGAAGGGAAGAAAGTGCACCATCTGTATTCAAAACAATCCAGCTTAATATCTTATGATGAGAATGTATCAAAGGTGTCCCTCACCTGCCCTGTACTATCTGCCTGGCCACGTTGGATGAGGGAGCGTGAAAGGCGCCCACACCGCACCATGGTGACACAGCCAGGAAGGAGGGAGAGGAGGGCAAATTACAGCAGCAGTGAGCTCCTTGAGTAAACAGAATTTTAACATGTATTTCTCGCTTTACTTCTTCTCGCCCATATTTTATTCTGGTTCGACACACTTCAATTTATTCCTTCAATTGTGGGTGTCTCAAATATTTGAACAAGAAGAAACACAAAAACGAAAGAAAGAAAAATCTTGTTAACAAAGAATTTCCCCTTAAAGCTTGGCTAATGCACAAAAATTTTCATTTCACAGACAAGCCATTCAGTTCCTGGCTTGAATGCTATTGATTTTACCAGAATAATAATTTCTAACATTTACAATACACTAGGGATTTTGAGTTCATCATCTCATTCAATCAGCACAACTGTGAGGCAGGTATGGGGGATCCACGGCAACCCAGCAAAGCTGCAAGATCACACCGCTAGCCTGTGGCAAAGCACGCTGTTAAACCCTGAGCCCCATATTCAGCTTATATCCTGTCCTTAACCCTACATACTTGGCACATTTAGAAGAGGTACTTTCTACACAACACAGAGCTGAAATTCTTCTGCCCTGGACCACATGCCTTTGCTGTTGTTAAAGGTGATTTTTAGAATGAACCGCCATACTAGCTGCGCTATGTTCCGGAAGCCCCAATCTGACAAATGCCATGGGTCATGTGAAGATCAAAGGTCAGGAGGGCCAGTGGTTACAGGGATGGCCTAGCTGAATCTTCTGTTAAAATTCTACACAAAGAACCCGCTCAGAGCATGGCTCTCACAGAAAACAGGACCTGGAACAAGCTACAAGTGATCAAAGTGCCACAAGTCAGAATTTAAATCAAAGGCAATGCCTTCCCTTGATTTTTAGGGCAACTAGCTCACCCTGGTGGGCAGAAAACTTAACTACACAACCACCAATTTCTTCCCTCACCACCTTGTTAAAGTAGCATACTAAATTGAGGAGACCGCTTCAACCCACTCGTTAGCCTGGGTAACTTAAGTTCATGCAAACTTTCTGAGCAGATCTACATAGCAAATGCAGTTAATTATCTAAATTGTGTTAGCAATCCCTACCTGAGAATCTGTCTAGATCATGTAGGAAGGATGAAAGATTCTTAAACCAAAATGAAATAGGATTTGCTGAAAACAATGTAACAAGAGTTATTATTTATAAGTGAGTATTGTATTATACAGTCAATTCTTCAAGATTACGGCAGCTATTTTTCAATCCAGTGGAAATCACCTAAACTCTACGTACAAAAATATTGACTGTAATATTATTCATTCTATGAACATTTATTGAGTAGTTATAGACCGGACACTATGCTAGACACTGGAAACAGAGCAAATGATGACTTACTGCACTGCTTTGCAGTAAGAGATGTTATGCAGTAGAGAGATGTCACTACTTCAGATTGAGTGGTCAAGGAAGGTGACTGCAGGAAATGAAGCAACCCCAATGTTCATCAGGAATAAAAAGCCCCAGTGTCCATCAGTCATGATACAAACACACAACAGAATACTAGGCAGTCATTAAAAGTTCAGGTAGAGCCCCACATGCTGATATAGAGGACACACAACACATACTACAAAAGCAACTTAAGAACAGAGTGTATATGAATCTATAGGTATAAATTTCTCATGGCAAATAATCAGATGTAGGTACATGCAGTAAAAATACCCCAAAAGTGTTAATAGTGATTACTTTCAGGAAGAGGAATCTGTGGTGTGGTGAGTCTTACTCCACGTAATGTATGAAGGTATAGGTGTGTGCGTGTGTGTATTCTTTTCCTTTAAACACTGAAATTTTATTTTTAATATAGAAATAAAAGCCAAATCAGGATGACAGAAAACACAGGCCTTCTATACTTCATCCATCTGCACACAGTTGTAATTCTAATTTACAGACTTAATACACAGACCTCCCATTTAGAGAAGGTGTACTCAAATGACCACGTAAGAAAGGACTCTTTATGGATAACATTTGGCTGAATGTAAAATATGGTACAGTCATTTCCTGTGGCTCATAAAACCCCTAGCTCAGCTTTCGTTGGTAAAAACTGGTCCACCTGCTCTCTGTAAGGTACAAGGAAACAGATAAAAGGATAACTATTCCAGCTTCCACCTAAACCACTTGTGAAAAAACTAAAGAAGATATATCAGATTCATTCATCACACAAAGGGAATGAAAACGGGGTCTTTTCCCACCACTGTGAATACTCAAATAGGTTTACTGCAGAGAATGTTCAGATTGCTCAGGCAGATTATTCAACAGCAGCAGACGTCCTGTGTGCTAATATCCCTAAATTTACTAAAAAATAAATAAATAATTTAAAAAGGACCCCAATGGTTCAGAAGTAAAACATACTTCAAAAGATATTTCCAAGATAAGTAAATCTAATTATTGAGTGCTGTTTTCTAGTCCAGGAGGAACACCTCATTTCCAGTTATTAGCAAACCATACTTCACTCCATGAGACAATTACACCTGTGTGCTTAATAACAAGGAGACAATAAGCAAATGCACCTCATTTTGAGTTTCTTACCTAACGCAGCAGGATTTTCTTGCTCCTGACTCTTTCCCAAAGAGGCCATCATTTTCGAATGGATATCAGTCCACCAAGGATTATACTTCAAAACCTGTTTAACAGCCTCATCTTCAAAAAAGTCAGCTCTGGGATGGGGGGAAAAAGATTGAATGAGCTAGTTACATAGAAGTGGGCTGGTTTTCATTTTTTTTAATGTTATCTTAACTCATTACATTTGCACTAAAAATACAGATTGTTGATTCAAAGTTTATTTCCAGGAGAGACTGAGCAGTGTTCTACTTCCCTTGCGGTTACTAATCACCATAAAATGATAAGAAGCATCTGGCTACAGGGCTATGAACATTTCTCATCTCTTTAAGCAGAAGGTACAGAGAAGATCAGCCCTCTCCTAAAGCCCCACCCCATGTATTACAGTGCGTGCAAAGAACCAAGTTCGAATACACAGTGGACAGGAGCCCAGCACTTGGGCTACATTTCTAAGCAACACAGATTTTGGAAAGGTTACAATAAAGGAAAGAATCTTCTAACAACACCAGGAAAGAAAAATAAGCACATGAATAGGAAAATTCAGGATACAGCATATCCAGCAAAGAGGCTACACAAGACACATCACTTTTTAGCATGTGCAATTCATACTATCTACCGAGATACAATTTAATTTAGCTATACCAATCTAAATAACCCCTTAACTTAAAACTACTGGAAGAGATAAAACTAACCTTTGCAGAGAACAGAAAATATATTTTCCTCTCCTTTCTCAGTTTTAACTTGAATTACTGCTACATTCAAAACATACTGTTGCAGGACACTCATCAGAAATTAGAGGACACATTCAGGTATTATGCTATCATGCATTCGAAGCTGGAAACTGTGTTCTTGGGAAAAGAATGACAGAAAGTATACCTCACAGTGAAAAACTCTTCAATAATTCCGTGAATTAGACAGTCAAGGAATTTGTTGTTTTGATAAACTGGACTTTCCACCCAACAGTTTTATGACATTCCTTTCACACTAAGTGCTTTCCATCCATTATTTCCTTGCATCCTCACACCAGCCCCACGAGCAGGGGATACTATTAATATTCCTATTTTACATGGGTGGAATCTGAGGGTCAGAAAAGTTGTGTATTACGGGCAAAGTCACAGAACCACTAGGAAGTATGGCCAGGATTTGGACCCACATAAATCTTACTCCAGAATCCAAGCTATTCACCAGTATAAACACTCTGTTTTTAAGCTTGAGGAAATAAAATACATATTGGACAAAACTGAATAGCAATTACTTGAAATAGTAATTCTCAGTATTAATTTTTGTCAGGTGCACCAAGCATGTAAGACTAGGATGAAGCAGTTATTTTATAAATTAATCCTGCTAAGTCTCTTTTATTAGCTCTCTTTCCCTTTAAAAGGAAAACTCTTCTGAGTTGAGTTTCTCCTATAACCTTTCCTCCACAAATTGGGATGTGAACTCTTTCTAGGAAATAAATTTCAAAACTGATCATCAACAAGAGTAAATGGCTAAAATACTAAAGGAGTCAATGAAAAGTACTGACTTTGTGCCGTGTTCCCAGCTCCACGTTGGGCACTGGGTCACACTGCTGACAAGGCACAGTCCTAGACCGACGGAACGTCCAGTCTCGTGGGAGAGCCAAAGAATTACAGTATGTTGTAGGTGCTCTGATGTACCAGTACAAGAATTCGCAATAAAACGAAATTGGGGTGACAAGGAAGATCCCTGGAGTGAAGAGCAAGGGCAACACTTGAATGGTAAGTAAGAGTTACTTAGGTTAATGGGGTGGGAGAGAGCATTCTGGGTTGAAAGAATAGTTAGCAAAGGCTAGGTAACTAGAAGACACATTTAAGAAAAGAAAAAAAAAAGTTGAAAACCAGTTGAAAATGATATGTTGTGGTGATAACCTTATAAGCCCTGTTCAAAAAATCTAGTTTATTTTTATTCCTAAGAACAACTGAATGTTTAAAAGCTTTTACATAAAAGACACATCGAACATCACTCTCACTGGAAAGCAGTTTAAAGGAACAAGCCTGAAGGAACAAAAATAGTGGTGTCCTAGAAAAGGACAAGTCGCCGTGGACACAGAGCAAAGTGGATGGATCTGACCTGCACTTAGAAGCTACAATACCCAGGATGTAGGAGTCAAGGAAGCCGAACAGGAGTCAAGGCCGATGCCCAAGATCAACAATTCAGGGGAAAACAGTGCCCTTTGTTAAAACAGGAACACAGGACGCCAACATGACTAGACATATAATGGCTTCTGCTCAAAACAGGCTGAGGTGGAAGTGTCCCTGTAGGATACACAAACAGAGACCTGTCCAATAGGCAGTTAGACATACAAATCTGACACTCAAGAGACACATGGGGGTCGTGAGCATTTAGACAGTTACTGAGGCCAGAGAAAAGGACAGAATCACCCAGGGAGAACTGGCAAAACAAGAGAAAAGGGCCTTGGGCACAGGAGCACCGGGGATATTTAAGGCAAGGGAAAAAGAGCCCATGTGAAAACACACTGGTTTTTTTCCCCAGGAGGAAAGGGATGGGAAAAAACATGTCTTTGTAAAATGTTATCTCACCATCTCCAAGCCTTCTCCCCGACCTCAAAATCTCAACATATTTAAGTGATTCTCTTGGATAAAATCTCACTGCCACAGTCCCAGAAATCTAAATTGTGAGGGCTTATTGTTTACACTGTGCACAATTTAAGAGTTTTGTGAATAAGATCTGAGGCTGACTAATGTTCTACTTTCCAGAATAAGTTATTTTCAATAAATTCTTTTCAAGTTTTTAAGGGCCATTAATTCAACGAGCAATTAAATGAATGTCCTCTGCATACAGCACAAGGGAGATAAAGACCAGCAGGACTCACCCCTTGCCCTTCAGGACTCCATGGTTAAACCGGAGCCACAGACACAAACACAGAACTACGTACAGACCAGATGAGCTATGACCTGGGAGCACTTCCTCTGCCACCCTGGGAGGGAGGGTGCCGGGGGTGACAGTGGAGCCCAGTCACAGAAGATGAGTAAAAGTTATTCAAGCAAGGTAGGACAGGGGAGAAAACAGCTGGCAAAGGAACATCATGGGTAAAAAGTGTGTGAGCAACTGTGTGGTACAGGTGGACAACTGCTGCAGTAGAAAACGCGGGTGGGGAATGGCAAAAAAGCTACAGAGGCAGACAGGGTCAAGATCACAGAGAACTTTCTATGCCACGCTAACGAGAATCCGGTAAAGTTTTAAGATGTTCATCTTCACTATTAAGACATCATTCTGGTGGTGTTACGGCTGATGAATATGCAGAAGTCCAGGCTGGAGGAAGAGATGGAAATGAAGCAGTTAGGACACTGCCACATGAAGCCAGATGAACAAGAGGGCCAGAAATCAATGGAAATAGTTCAGAGAGGGTACAACAGAGACCTGTCCAATAGGCAGCTAGACATTATTTGATGCTCAAAAGAGACACATGGGGGTCGGGAGCACTTTGACAGTTACTAGATAAAAAATGAGGCACTCTGCCAAGTAGGAAATTCAGAAAAACTTTACAAGTAACATAAGAAGTTTGATATTGTACATAATAAAACTGAGGAGTCGGGAGAGTCCAGTCGCTCCTCAAACCCTTCACAACCTGGCTTTTCTTCCCAGCACTCATCCAAATCGAGCTCCTGGGGAAGCATGAGGAGCGCAGCGGCCTCGTTACACTCCACGCTATCTTCATCATCTGCAACACTGCCTGGCACACGGTTCATTCAAACACGTATTTATTTGGTGAAAAAATAAGTACACACATGGAAGGAGGAATAAATGAAATGTTATTGATGCTTTTTCCTAAGCTTGCTGTTTTGAGCACAGAGTGTCTTGGCAGCAAATGATCTTCTCAGCCTTATAAATATTACCTGTTGTCTTAGCAGCTCCTCAGTGAATCCACAAGCCCATCAGAATAACAACCCCTTTAACAAATTCACAGCACTGAGAAGTTGCAAGTTAAAATGGCACCTCAAATCCCTTACAATCACTTTTGTCCCTTTTCTTATCTCACAGGTATTAAGAATGTTCACTAAACTCTTTGGTAGTCTCCCAAAGAAGGAAATAAGCAAGATTTTATGAACTGATTATGGTAAAAAATAAGCCAACAATTAAAAAACAATTTGCCTGGGAAGGGAAAAAAAAAAATGCTCTCAGCAAGAGAAATATGAAAACTTAGCTATAATAAGCAAAAAAGGAAAGACTACTCAATATTTCAAGATGCCATCAACACATTTGGAGTGTAAAATAATATCCAAAAGGAATTACAGGTGGCAAAAATGGATAATCAAAAACACTAAATGTTTGTGAATCATATATTACATATAGACTTTACAACAATGAATTGAAAAAAAATAATACTGAAAAGTCACTTCTACATGGCTTTGAAATATATACATTTTTCTATATAATCAATTTACCTCACTGTTCTTCTACTTCAGGGTGACATTAAAATTAATTTTCCTTAAGCTCCCAAAAAACCTGACAACATGAGGACAACATGAGGACACGTTGCCAGCACGTCAAACAACTTGAAAATGTCATATATTATATGACTGCACTATAATGTAATTATAAAATGTAATATAGAATGTATATATTACATTGATATATATGAATGTATAATACATACAATGTGTTGTCCACATGGTAGGTAAGAATTTAAAGTAAACCTTTCCTTCTTCTGCGATAACCATTAAAAACAAGAAAAGCCCTGAACTAAAAAAACGCTTAATTGAAAATTTAAGAATTTTACCTGCACTTCATTAAACCTTAACATTTTTGGGTATGTCCGCTTATATAAATAATAAGGAATGAGCAACAGAAAAATTACAATTAGCCAAAGTCTTACCACTACCAGAAAAGTTACAAAGAGCCTCCACCTCATAAATCCCACTCTCTGATCTGCCCATGACCAAATGTTAAATCCCTCCCGTAAGAAGACCTAGCTCTTCTTGAGAAACGGAAAGAACAGCTCATGCATGCTGTTAGAGAAAATGAGCTTCTGGAAAACAGAGATGATGGAGAAACATGAAGGCTGCATGTAATAATATCTCGCTGTTAACTATAAATTCCAATTTCCAAATTCTCTCAGGCCATGGAGTTATTCTTCCAGTTGCAGAAGAGAAAAGATAGGCAGTTGTTCTGATTAAGCTCCCTCCCTCTTGAAATTTCAGCAAAGCTCTTTCTGTTTTCATGCTTGCCCATGAAATTTGCTGACAATGAAATTCCCACTTTAAATATTCAGCATGACTTTAAATAGGTTTCTTCAAATTACTCTTCAGTGGACCTTTAAAACCGCAACTGGAGATACAAAGGTAATTAGAAATGGCAATGTAAATGGACTTGAATCTCTCAGATGTCCTCCAAAATATAACATACTCTGCCCCTACCCCCACCTCTCCCTTAGGATGTTAAATAGTTCAACCATTTATCACTGCACATCACTTAATGCATTTGCACATCATAAGATATATTTCTGTCATTCCAATTAGTCTCCCACTGTGTCACAGGAGATAGAATATTAATCACAAGAGCAACAGCAGTTAAACTCAAATAGTGTACATGAAAAGGAAATACAAAATGACAAATGGAAAGACTCTTCAAATCCGGGACAAGCCACTTAGTAGCAGTGTGACCTTGTGCAAGTCCCTTAACCTCCTTTCTTCAGCTGTTGTGAAAACTGAATTAAATAATCACAGGAGAGCACCTGATAAGCTGAAAGCACTATAAAAATATAAGGGAATATGATGATTATAGCTGCATATATAACAGCTTCAAAATTGTTGACCCAGAGCTCAGAAGGAACACTAATGGAGGTCTACCACAGCGTGTGACTCACATACTCTGAGAGCCAAGTACCCACAAAGGCCAGGGGACAACAGCTTCCTTGAAAGACGTGCCATTGTCTTGGTCAATGAGCAACATCAAAATCCCCCTTAAGGGATTATTTACCTATCCAATAATTACGTAACTTCCTTTGGGCAAATATAAGCCTGAGAGATGCATTATGGCTAAAGACACAATTAATGCAGGTGGGAAATACAGTTAAAACTTAAAATCAGATTTCATTTATACCCTACTGTAATGAATTGTTACTTGTTAATTGGAAAGAGATCCTTGATGAGGGATGCTAGTGGATGAAGAGTGTTGGGAAATCCCTGGGTCTGTACATCTACATTTAGTACACATAGATACAAATTCTTAAAGAAATAATTGAAACAGATTTCCATTTATACATGCCATTAACCACATTTATCACAACAAAAAAACCTACTGAAAAGAACCGCTAATATTCTCATGAATGCACTGTTCTGTTGTTAAGCCTGGCAAGAAAAAAAACTCAAAGAAGTATATTAAAAGAGTTCTCCATTGCTGGAATGACTACTAAGAAGCAATATCTAAAAAGATCACAGAGGTATAACAATTAACAAATGTTAATTCAAATGTCAGTTAAGGTTTTGAAACATCACTGATTTTCAGAATCTAAAACGCACACACCTAGCATAGTTTAAAAGACATTTTTAAAATAAATGTCAAGTAAATTATATAAACCTCAAAAAACTCAAATACTTACAGATAATGATCAGGATCAAATTTGTCCAGCTCTGCAGCCAGGCGCTTCTGCCTTCGTTCAGCTGCAGGGGTGAAATCTGGATCCTTAACATCAATAACATCACTCAATTCATCCTAAGAACACCCAGAAAAGAAAGAACAGTTGCAATCTCCTATTTCAGCATTCAAAAATAGAATTTTGCACAAAATGACAAAACACAGAAGAATCTAATGAACCAGTAAGCCATGATACTACCCGTGAACACTTATATTCAAATGCAACAAATATTTGTTAACACTTACTACTTGCCAGGCCCCATAGAAAGTTTTTACATAAATTACCTTATTTAGGATGCAGAGAAAGGAGAACCCTCCTACACTGTTGGTGGGAATATAAATTAGTTCAACGATTGCGGAAAGCAATATGGAGGTTCCTCAAAAAACTAAAAATAGAAATACCATTTGACCCAGTAACTCCACTCCCAGGAATTTGCCCAAAGAAAACAAGATACCAAATTCAAAAAAACATATGCACCCCTATGTTTATTGCAGCACTATTTAAAATAGACAAGATATGGAAGCAACTTAAGTGTCCATCAGTAGATGAATGGATAAAGAGAGGTGATACATATACAGAATGGCATATTATTCAGCCATAAGAAGAAAACAAATCCTACCATTAGCAACAACATGGATGGAGCTAGAGGGTATTATGCTCAGTGAAATATGCCAGGCAGAAAAAGACAAGTACTAAATGATTTCACTCATTTGTGGAGTATAACAACAAAGCAAAACTGAAGGAACAAAACAGCAGCAGCCTCACAGACTCCACGAAGGGACTAGCAGTTACCAAAGGGAAGGAGGTTGGGGAGGGAAAAGGGGATAAGAGGCATTATAATTAGCAATCACAATACAGGTAGATAACGGGGAAGGCAGTACAGCACAAAGACAAATGACTCTATAGCATCTTAGTATGCTGATGGACAGTGACTGCAATGGGGTGTGTGGGGTGGGGGGGACTTGATAATATGGGTGAATGTAGTAACCACAATGTTGCTCATGTGAAACCTTCGTAAGATTATATTTCAATAATACCTTAATAAAATAATAATAATTAAAAAATAATAAATTACCTCATCTAATCCCTACAACAAATTGATTAACATATATTAAGACTATAAAAATTAACATAAAAAACACAATAGAATAAACCCTTGCAAGCAAACAGGAACACTTAATTCTCTACCCATTCCCCATTTACCCTAGAGACTGGAAAGTTATTAAATGCATGTTGAAATAAATTTCTAGACCCAAGATGGAGCTGCTCCTGCCTGGCATACCACATCAGCAAACCAAAACTTAGGTAACTTCATATCCCTATAAATGCTCTGCTTGACCAGAAATGCAGTATACCTAGTCAGCCAGTCCACAGAGGCCAACAAACGTAGGCTCTACACTTACTTCCTTATTCCATCTCAGCCCATGTGGCCCTAGACAATCAGATATTTTCTATTTTTCTTGTTCTTGTTCTTTATCCCATAAAAGCTTCCTGCCTTCCTCATTTTGCAATTCTCCAAATGAAGACCGTCTACAACATGAAGTGTTAGTTTGTTTGCATCACCTAAACTGTCTTCTTTCTTCACCTGCTAGCAGGCAAAGTGGTTTCAGTATCAGACATCTACACACAGACCTGCCTTCTGATTCTTCCCATGGTCTAGCTCAGCTGGTCTCAGATAAAGATGACCATAGAAAACACATACACGAACCTTTACATTCTACTTCATGAGCAGATTTTGATGTATATGACTTTCCACTTACAAATTTAAAAATCTAATCCTGAGTAATATTCAACTTAACTGTATTCGCCTTCACTTAGACATACACATACTACTATAGAGCCCATTTCCTAAACGGAATCCTACAGAAAACAGGTGTGTCTGGAAAATGGCCTAGGATACCACATGGTCTCTTTTCTTTTGACTGGAATTAGGAAGCAAAGAAAACTTCTACAATGCAGAATTTTCCGAAAAGTGTTACCTATTTTACTTTCCTCATCCTCCCATAAGCAAGAAATACAGAAACCGGGAGAAGTTTAAAGAATATCAACTGAAAAGAAATCCAGGGAAATTACTTGGTAGAGAGTTGTGGAGGCAAGCTGTTCAGACAGATCTATTTATGGAACGACAGGTTAGTGCCTAATAATCAGGCTCGAAGTGCACAGCAGTGAGACAAAAATCACTACAGTGAAATGAGCCAAGCTGAACTGGTCAGGGAGAGTCGAGGATACACACTCCCCACACAAACTTTCTGCACTGAAAAACAAATTCTCTCATCCCTACCACAATCTAGTTGGCTCAAGAACTATCAACAACATTCAATCCAAGGCATTCTTATACAACACAAAAGCCCAGAGAACTTTCTGGAAGTCCCATCCAGAACATCTTAATACTTCGAAGTACTAACAGTTCTAAGCAAATTCCAGACTACTGGCTGTCCCCAAACCAACAAAAGTTCTTTTACAATTTACTTTTGGGAGACTTATGTATTTCCCTACAGAAACACTATTATAAATAGTAGTTAGATTCTCAGGACAGCCCACAAGTTTATTCAACTCATAATCAACTTGAAATAGAGTACTCATGAAACAAAGGGATTAACACGCATGCAGCAATGTTTCCATGGAAAAATACTTTCAGAGTTCCAGTTTAATCCACCACAAACACCTCTCCTCGGAGCAGTGACCTGGGCTCTTCCACTCCTCCCCACTTCCTCACCTGCCTAAAATCAGCTCCTCTTGCCACAGACATGGGAAAGGGAGTTGAGGTAGCCCTTGGGGGAGAGGGTAAGTTGTAGTGTATCCCCCAGGCCTACCTAAGTTAGATGAAAACCGTGACAGCCGTGGCCTGCTGTGGAACCCAAGTCCCTCCCCCCAGAACCCTTGAGTCACACACACACACACACACACACACACACACACACACACACCACCCTTCTGAAAGCGACTTGTGTAGAAGTGTGACTTGGAAGTTAGACAAACCTGAATTTAAAACCCAGTCCCACTGAGCTTTGCAACATCCCTGAACTGCAACTTCCTTACTGTGAATTGAGTCTAGAAACACCTCCATCACAGCACTGGGCACCAGTTTCCCTTGCTGCTCTATCAAGTTACCACAAACTTAGAGGCTTACCACAACCCAGACGCATTCTCTCACAGTTCTGGAGTGCAGAAGCCCAAAGTCAGTCTCACTGGGCTAAAATGAAGGTGAAGGCAGGGCTGGTCCCGCTCTGGAGGTCCTGTTTCTTTGCCCCTCCTGTCTCAGGCCAGCTGTCCTCATTCCTTGGCTGGCAGCCCCACATCACACACCTCTCCTCCCCCGGCATCCGGCATCACACAGCCTTCCCTCATTCACTTTGCCCCTCTTACCTCCCTCTTATAAGGGTCCTGTGACCTGGATAATCCAGGACAACCTCCAGGACAAGACCCTTAACTCAATCACATCTGTGAAGTCCCTTTTGTCATGTACAGTAACATATCCACATGTTCCAGACCTCACGGGCAGGGGAGGCATCGTTCTGACGGCCACAGGCTGCAGTGAGGAGTAAGTGAAACAATACGAGTAAGGCATCCAGCTCAGGGAACCATCCATGCAGGCACGTGTGCTTCCTGTCTGTCTGTCTCCCGATGCCACTGCTGCTCCCTGTCACCCACCAGGCGACTTCCTATGAACGTACATATTTTCCCTGCTCTTCATTTTCCTCACTTGCCAGTAGCAACAAAAAGGAAAAAAATAGGGATTAATAGATGCCACTGGGTTAGTTCACCTGGACCAGACATGAGGTCACTAACGGGGAACTGTCTGTGAGTCTCTGTAGATAACTCCACACTCACAGGACAGACGGACTGAAGTAACCACAGGCATTTCAGAACACCAACTGCAGGATAAACCCAGACTCCCACCACAGCCCAAAACTCTCATAACCAGCCTCTGTGCTCTTCAGCTTCACCTCTGACCTCCCTCTTCTGGCTCAAACATGCACCAGACTGCCTGCAGTTCTGCAACTCTCAGTCTCTGCATCTAGAGGGCCCTTCTCATCATTTGGGGCTCTGTGCAAATGACACCTCCTCCAGGGCCTTCTCTGGGCATTGCAGGCAAAGCACTTCCTCCAGTCTCTCCCTTCACCCACCCTTCACCATCACTATCTGAAATTACCTTGTTTATTTGCGGTTTACATGATTACTATCTAATTCCTCTATATATTCCACGAGAATATTCCATGAGGGCAGGGGTCTGGTCTATCTTCTTCTGCATGGGATCCCCAGCACTGTGCCTGGCATTTGGTATTAAATCATTCATTCAGCAAGTAGTGTGTGAGGCCTGCTCTGGGCTAGATGCCGTTCTAGAGGCTAGAGATGCAGAAATAAACTCGCAGACAAGGTCCCTGCTCCCACGGGAATGCGTGTTCAACAGGAAGATACAGCAATCCTTCCTCTTCCCCTGCCCTGCCCCCAGACCCAGGGCCTTGACATTCAGCTGTGCAACATGCACCCTGCACAACACTAACGTACACAGTAGCACAAGCCCGGCCTGCCTCATCCTGTGCAGCCGCACACAATGGCCCTGTTCACACTGCAGCCTCAAGAGGAACCGGAGCAAATGGAAGGGCCAAGTTAGCATGGGGTGGAGAAACCTGTCCAAGGCATCACTTGACCAAAGGGAAGGGAATAAAAGAGGGTAAGAAATGTTCATGACAGAAGGACAAAAGGGAGTCCTTTTCTAAAGTGTTGCTACGGCCACTGTTACTGGAGCCATTTAAAGATGGGCACTGCCAAGAAAAGGTCATGTAGGACTTAAATCAGGCTTAGGTTAAGTTTCGGCACAGGCTATCCAGACAGAAAATGAACTGTGTGCACATCTGGCTAGGACGTCTCCCAGAAACAACAGTTTCAGGTCCCTGGTGCAGCTGAGGGAGGGCAGGGCCAGCAAGCCAGCATCCTGTGGCTCTTGGCAGTAGTGGTCCCAGGAGCTGGCTGGGCCGGCGCCCAGAGACTCCAGGATTGTTGTTCCTGGCAGCCGCTGAGGCCAGAAGCTTGTTGTGAAGCCCTGACTTTGAGCAGCCAGGGCAGTTTTCCAAAGGCGCCCTGGTGGCTGGCAGCAACGGCAGAAAGGAAAGAAAGAATGACATGTGTGTGTGTATGTGTATGCAGGGAGGGCGGGGCAGGGATGTTGAATGAGAATTTGTTTCAGCAAAAATACTTTTATTTTCTTCTCATTATCAGTAAATACAAAAGTTCACAAGAAAATCCTATGTAAATGGTTGGAGGGGGATATAAATATGAAAGAGTATGCCTCCCCCCATAAAGGGTTGAATTATTCAATTAAGAGAAGGTACTGGGTATTGGAATTATGAATGATGTTTTACTTTTTGTGTTATGTTTTTATAATGAATATATATTGCTCTTATCACAGAAAATAAAGCTATTTTTCAATTAAGGGGGAAAAAGGAGACTATAAAAATGCTAGTAAAATGTGAATAGTTAAAATTTTATGCATCTTTTCTCATCCATTGGCAGAACTTAGAGAACCTCTAAAGCTGTGAGAAAACATTATCTGAGGAAAATGGTAAAGTTTCTTAAGTACATCATTTTACAATAAAAGAGATGTTCTCAAAGCTCTTCTTTATGCAACAGTCACTTCTATTTCTTTTAGTGGCTTTACTAGCAGAAAGAGGGTCATGTTAATCTTACGGGATCACTGTCTTTAACTACAATGGTATGAATGTCACAGAGCAGTTAGAAATGCAAATGAACTCTACAAGTAATATACCAATTACATAAGATTTTTGTGGCACTCTCTCATAAAACATTTACCTTAATGTCCCAAAGAGGGTGTCCTCTAATTCCCTGCATCTTGGTTCACATACAATTTTTCAAAGTTCTACTATTTCCTAATTATCATGAAGGAATTTAATTCAAATTTAATTCATGTAAGAAAACATCATAGTCTTCAAAAGATGACATTTGTCTATTGCTTTGTCCACTGGTAAAATGGGCACACAGAACAGCAACGATGCCGAGATGGAATAGTGACATACACACACGCGAGCCCAGCATGGTGCCTGGGACACAGACATACTCAATAGCTGTGAGCTATCACTGTGCAGACAACGGAGGTCCACACCTGTTACCCAAATCCCCTGGAGAGGGGTGGACTTCAGGATTCAGACTCTTAGAAAAGTTTAGAAGAGTAATGTGGTATACATATACACCATATTTGATTTAACCCCCTCTCAGAAGTCTGGGGCAGCACCCTGTATGCAGATACATTACTATTACTATTTCTACAACAAAATTTGTGTACACACTAAGTAGGATTAAAAATATATATATATTAAAAGACATCAGTTCAGATCAGGTTATGCCACCAAACTAAACACAAAAACGCTTTTAGTTTCGGCAGTTTTTGTGATCTCAGGATTGCACACATGGCATTATAAACCCAACCAACCAATTTTACTATTTACAATGATCTCTTCAAGTTCTCTCATGTGTACAGTTTTTTTCCCCTACATTGAGGAAAACATACATTCAAAATTGTTTAGAATAGCAATGCTCATTCAATTAAAATTTGAGGAACAATGTAATGATTTTAGATAATTAAGCTAAATGTTTAGGAATAATAACCATTAAATTAGTGATCTGTTTCTGAGGGGGGAAAGAGAGGAATACCTTCAGGAAGGGATATGCAGGGCCCCAATCTGTTAGTAATGTTTTATTTCTTAAGCTGGGTGACAGGTATCTTGGGATTTGTTGCATTAGTTAAGACATTCAAAGAGATATAAGGAAATTTATACTAACTTTTTTCTTAAATCAACCTAAATTACTTATTAGTGAAAACCTTCAATAGATACAAGAACTTCAAACCTGACTGGGACTTGGCCTAGCTCCCATTAGGGCATTCCTGCATCTTCTCAGAAACCTGGCAGAAATCCTCTGAAAGCATCTTCCCTCAACAGCAGCAGCAATTAAGAAACCAAATTCCCTGACCTCAGAAAGCACTTCCAATTCAAATGTACAATTTGTATATTTACTACCTGTATGACCTTTACTATCACTCATTTATAACTCTAGATAAGCAAGCTCAAAACAGACTGACAGCAAACTAGCTCTCAGCCAAACAACTGAGGCCCATTCGCTGTAGGTTTTGCTATAGACAAAACAGACTCTATTCTGACTACAGTGGAGCTGACTGGAGAAATGTGATTACAGAGAGAGAATACAGAGATATCACAATTCAGCAGAAAAGCATATAAGGTTCTTGAAGAAGTATCTCATCAGCGTTATTTGCTCCTAAGTAAATCCCAATTTTTTTTCTTTTTAAGGAGTCTTGAGAGCATTTTTTATTTTTCAAGAACAGAGGTCCTTTTAGCACCTGAATTTTTTTTTGTAAAGAGTTTTCACAATGTAGCATCTCCTTATGTTTTCTGATTGGTCTTACAAAGTAGGTGAGCAAATTTATCCCTTTTTTACATGAAAATAAAATGAAACTTCTTTGTGGTCAACTGGCATGGTGTCCCAAATCTAAACAGAGGTAGAAGTGGCACTAATATATAAGCCCTTTCCTTTTCTTTAGTAGATTAAATTGTGTCTTACTATAATAAACCACATTCAACAAGTTTAACATCCTCTACCCAGACAGGAATGAAGTAAACATAAAATGCAACACTGTCCTTGGCTGTTTCTTTCATTTAAAATAACTAAGGCCCCAAGTTAGTTGTTCACATACATTTTCATCACATAACATTCTAAGGATGTGTTTTCTATAAAACAACATAAATACAAAATAATCCAAAATCTCTCCTTTCCATTTCATTCATTTCAATCGCCCTAGCCTAAAATGAACTGGAATTTCCTACATTTCTGAAAGAGAAAAAGTGATGTCATTCCTTGTCAGCCTAAGTGACAAGTGGTCCCGCTTTCACAAAAGATTACACTCAACCCCTTCAGGAGTAAACAGACAAAAGTAGGCCAAGAACTAAACAATTTGATCAAAGACACAAACTATTCTCACTGGAACCCTCTGTCTCATTTATATATGAAACAGAAGAGACCCCATGCCAGAAGTACATGATTTTCATTTTTCAGGAGTATAACACAAAAAGTTTTCCTAAAGCCTTCCAAAAAAAAGTAAAGGACGTCTCACACCTGCCGGCGCAGTAAGGATGGGTAGAACAGCCGAGGCGATGGGAGGGAGCAAATACCTATGCAAGGAGCTGCGCTGTGCACGCTGAAAAGCTCACCTCCTTTGTCTTCATAAAAATGCCCAAGTATGGGCACAAGAGAAATTAAATTATCCAAACAGAGAAACCCTATATGCCGAGGTCTTTTAGAAGGACGACATACCTGTAACCTCTGAAACACGCCTGATCGCAAGTTTCCAAACCCATAGCGGCACTGTGGATGCAAAGCACCTTCTGACACTTCTTCATAGGGGGACTGTTCAATTTCCCAATCAAATTCCTCATTGTCATCTTCCACTCCTTCCTCAGAAACCTCAGAAGCACCTAAATGTGTTAAATGTTAACTTGTTAAAGTATTGGGTTTCCTAGGTACAGCTTGGGGCAGAAAGAGATAGGAAAAAACAGCTGCCCATGTGCACAAAAAGACATGTCTGAGAATAGAGAACCCCACTCTTCTGAATAGCCAGAAAATGGGACCAACCCAACAGTACATCAATCAATAGTAGGGTGTATAACAAAGAAATGCAATGAAACCAAACGGACCTCAGCTATTTATGGAGAAACCTTACAAAAATGTTGTGAGAAAAGCTAGACAAAAAGAACACATAGTGTATAAATTATAAATACAATTCAAAACAGGCAAACTGAGTGGTGACCCTGGAGAGGAAAGAGGGAGAAGTGACCATTAGGAGACACAGGGTAGGATTTTAGGGCATTGTAAATGTTCCATTTCTTGACCTAGGTTGTGTTCATTTTATGAACTTCACTGAACTGTATACTTCCAATCTTCGCTCAAGAGGCCAATATTTTGCCAAAGAAAAAAGACATTGTTTCAATCGGTCCAACCTACTGGTTCAATGGAGTTCTTTATGTCTTTAAATTATAAGACACCAAAATGGGCTATTTGCAACGTTTGCACATGACCACCTTATCTTGTCACCTAAAGTATGTTCTCTAGTTTGCTGTTTGCTATATCCCTTTTCCCCTAGAAGGAGATAGCATTCCAAATATACTGTTTACCTTTATTTCCTCCCAACTGTAATAAACATACCTATTTCCTCCACAAGCGGTTTTGCAGTCCTGGATTTTCTGGGTGCCAGAAGAGCCGTTAACATGTTCAGCCCCTCAAAATGCTGGCCAGGTATTTCTTTGGGCAATCGGATGGTAAAAGTTCCTTCAAGATTAATTTGTTTTATGCTAAGTTAGATTAAAAAGTTCAAAGGCTTCACAACTATATCTAAGAAATAGACATAAAAATAAAACACAATTCTATTTATAGGGCCTAAAATTATGCCATTATATACTTAATGAATAAAATGGCTTAGTGTTTCTTAGAACCACTGATTCAGCTGTCACCTCTAAGAAATTAATCTGTTAAAACTGCAGAATGCTGTAGTATAACACAGTGTCACCTTAACTTCTCGATAATTTTTAAAGTCCAAGTCAAAAACCTCTAAATCTCAATGGCCTAAGAAGGTAATAGCTTACAATTAGCCAGTAGCTACTTGTAAGATTTATTTCTGGACTAAGGAGGAAAAAATCAGGATATCTAATCCAATGAAGAGTAGCAGCACTTTCCAAAAATATGCAAAATCTTAAATAAGCAATTACAGATTAATAAAGTTCTCTGATATCTCAAGAGATACATCCCGAAGTCTAAGGCAGCCTCAAGTACCATCTCTGTACTTCTTCTCTTCTCTTGACTAGGTTTATCAACTTCATCTAGGCTTCTCTATGAACTTACTACTCTATTAACCATTCTTATCTTTTAAAACATCTTATCAGTGTACTTAATGATATTCTAATATTCTAAAATGCAACTAAATCTGAATAGTTTCATGTACACAACCTTCCTAAGCCCGTGTACTTTCAAATTTTAGTAACTGTTTCAATATGCAACTTACCCGTTATTAAAAGCAGACTTTACTAGGTAGACAGGTGGTTTCTTTACACTTCATTATCACAGTAATCATATTGTATTACAGGTAGAATTTTGCCATTTAACTCATTCACCCCATTTTCCCTCCCTTACCCTAGTTCACTGAGATCAATAAATATTCACTGAATAAATTGTATCAAGAGTACGCAAGGTATTCTTATGCCAGATCAGTGACAAATGAAAATCCAGTGACTTACATAAAAGGAAAATACATGGTTTCAAGGCTGGCTGAAATGAAGGGCTTATCAATCACGAGAAGAAAATTCAATCAGCCTTTAAATGCCATCTATGGACACTTTTCTCTTTCACCTACATGTTATTAAATTTTAAGTTGTAAAACTGTACAAGAAAAATTTGATTCATAGCTTACAAAAATCATTCACATCTTTTCTAATCAATCAGCTCAAACAATCTCACTTTCACTTTTTGAACACTTACTAAGTGATGGGGAAGTAGAAAATAAATGTCTAGAAAGCAGAACCAGAGTATTTAACTAATATAACTTTACAGAACATTTAAAGGACTGAGGAGATTTTAACTGTTCAGAAATCCATGAATAACAGACATTGGACATTAAAAACAATAAAGAATGATAGGGACAGATTGCACTTGTAATACATCTAAAGATTCCCACAGTATCTTCAAAGATTAGCATGCAGTTACTCTAACATGAAGAATCCAAAATAAAAATTAACACAGATTCCAAAGACAATACCTTTATCTGCATCATAGGCTCCTTGCTCACTTCCATTTTCTACAATTCTTCCTGGAAGGATTAATCTGCAGATTTAATATAAGGTCTCATGAAGTCCTTAAATTACAAAGTATTGTTAAATGACCATCAGTGATAGCATACATTGACCACTGGAAGCTACCAACCATTTCCAAAGGGAATTCCTCAGCATCTCTTTAACATTTTACAAACTAAATAACTTAGATTTCTTCCCTAGCAAAAAAAAAAAAGAAATCAGAGATGACTCTTCTTTCTGTTTGAATACTCCCCTCCCCATCGCCAATAAAGTAAATATTTAAAAAGAAAAGCCACTGTAAATATTAGTGATCACCACTATTGTGGTGCTTCCCCCTTCCTCATAAACAGGAGAGTTATTTACATACCTGGGGCCTGATACAGCAGGGGCTTGATGAAAGTGTCCTAACCAATTTCAAAAAAGGGGAAACAGTAAAGAAACAATAAAACCAATTGTTTATACTGAGCAAATAACTACTTTAAAGAAAGGCAGAAAGCAAAAGTGTTTTTCTCAAATCTCGTTATTACTATATGGGGATTTCCCCTTTCATACTAAAGGAAATGAAGGGACTTCCCGGTTTCCAGTTTTACCCTGAGTCAGTTGCTCTTCCACTGAGGCCCCCCAAAATGTTTCTAAAACAGAAATTTGATTGTCACTTTTCTATTGAAAAAGTTTCTATGGCTGCCTGACACTGTCTAGATAATTTAAACTCATCAGCACCACACAGCAGGCCAGCCCCATTCCATTCCAAACTTAAAATCTGAATTGCTTTTCCTCCCATTCCCACTCCCTTGGCTTCCTATTCTAACATAATTATAATAATTTTTAAAAACTTGACAGACTTCAAAAAGCCAATGAGTCACAACCTAGTTAATTCTGATGTTTCCTGGAGCTACACTGCATTTTTCAAACCAAAATCCCTTCTAAACCCAGCATAAGGATAAGGAGTCAGTTTATGGATAAATTAGTTTGTCATCATGACTACGAACACTACCTTCACTATCAGCATCTGAATTGAGTACCAGCTCTGCCATTTACCAGAGCTCTGTAACTTTCTTCGTACAAATCAATTAACCTCAAGGCTCCTATTTCTCATCTGTAAAAAGGGAAAATAACAGAATCTATTTCAGGGTTACCTGAGAAGGATATGATAATACAAAGAGCTTAGTGGCTGGTACAGTAGGTAAGCATTCAGAAGATGTACGCTATTATTATCAACTCTCTTCTCCTAAACTCTTTCTAAGTATAAATTCTTACTGCATAATAGTGAAACTGTATTTGTACACAGATCTGCCTGCCCTGCTAGATTCTCATTCCTCAAAGAGAGGGACAAGGTTTTATTCATCTTTGGTACACTATAGCAAACTGTATTGTAAAAGATGGCCCACACCACATCACTCATCCCAACAATGGAGTCAATGTCCCCTCCCCTTTAAATGTAGTGGGCCTATGAAACTGTCTCACCCAGTACATAAAGCATAGGGGCTACTGGATTTTTGAGGTGAGGTCATAAAAGGCGGTATGGATTCTGCCTTGGTCTCCAGAATACTTGCTTTTGAACCTTCAGCTACCATGTTAGTGGTTCAATTCCCCAAAGGAATCACAAATGAAACCATGTGAAGACGCCACAAAAGTAGGCCCAGTGACTCCAGGAAAAGAGATGTGATCCTCAGGACGTCCCACCAGTCCCCTGCTGCCTGGGCCCTTGCCATTCCAGGCACAACCACCATGTGACTGTAACTGAACTAAAGACCTCAAGCTAGAACAGCCCAGACAACCTCTTACCAAATTCCTGACACACAAAACCAGGGCAGGGAGTTAAATGACTGTTGTTTTACACCATTAAGTTTAAATGGTTATGTGGCAACAGATAACTGGAATAGCAGGCCCTTAATTAATAATAATATCTACTACTTATTGACCACATGATTACCAAGCATGGTAATAAGGACTATGCATGTATTAGCTCAATCCTAAGATTAACTCTTTAAGATCACTCCATTAGTCCCTTTTACAGATTAGGAAACTGAGGCTCTGAATAACTTGCCAAAGTCACAGAACTGTAAGTGTGCTGAGGCATACGTTGCCCCACTCCCAAGCCTCTGCTATCCAAGGAATGGGTGAATGCGTGTGAAGAGTACCCTTTAAATTGTTTCACACATAACCTTTTATTCTGTCTTCATTAAAATCCTTAAGCAAGTAGATTTTATTTTTACATTTTTATTTTATTATATCTGTTTTACAATCATGTCTCATTTATGATCTTTCTGCCAAGCCTCTGATCCTTTGTCTGTAACATGGGTAAATAACAGAACCTACTTTGTAGGACTGTCCTAAAATCAAATGAGATAATCCACACAAAGCACTAACCTGGAGAAAAACTCAGTAAATTTTTACTACCACCATCATCATCACCTTCCCGTCTCCTTCATGTCTTATCTTAAAAATCAGATTCGGAAAGGCTTTTCCTGGTCATTTTATATGAACAGACTCCCTTTTATTCTCTATCAGTACACCTTATTTCCCTTCACAGTACTCACCACGATTTGCAGTTCTATGTTTACTTCTTTATTGTTCTTCCCTCCCCACTAGGACATAAACCACAGGAGGCACCACTGCATTCCCAATACTGAAAACAGAACCTGGCCTATACCATGAGCTCAGTAAATAAATCAAAGGTACAAATGAATAGAAAAAAAGAAAATGCAGCATATGCAAGCAGATGGGTTAAATTAGGGTCTAAAAGAAATCTGAGCAAAACTGCTGCATGTTCAGGGAAGGAACCGGCTTGACTCAAGAAGGTTCACTTTAGGAAAGTATTTGGACAGGAAAGGTGGGCCGGAGCTTCACAGAAGGAGAAACGTTAGGAGAATGGATTTTATCCAGCAGGAAAGAGGAGGAAAAAGGGCTGACAATGTTTTAGCAAGAACAATCTGGCAGCGTCCTCTGTAAAATGGGTCTAATGATAATGACTATCTCCAAGGTTAAATGAGACAATACACAAAAAGCACCTGATGCATTGCTTACCCACTGCAAGGAAGCTGAGCAGTGCTAGCTGTTATTACTGTTCATAAGGTTCTGCAAGGAGAAAATGCAAGCTGACAAGTGCTAACGGGCTCTTACTGAGACTTGAGGGACGAACCACAATTAAAGGGCAAAATCAGAGAAGTAGCAGACGAGGAGGAGAAGGCAAACGAGGCCAATTTGCTGTCAAGGGAGACAAAGAAGAAGAGAGGTTCAGAAAGTAGGGAGCTGTTAGACCAAAAAGTCGAAAACAGAACGTGGACTGAGAGAAGTCATAGGGACCCGTCTGGGCGCAGGGGCGCTAACGCGGAGCGAAAAGAAAGCAGAGAAAGGAAAGGACGAGAACTAGGGCTACAGAACAAACTGCAAAGGTTACGGTGCCAAACGCCACGCTTTTAAGTAGCCCCAAATTTCCTTAACGTGGAGCTTAAGAAGAGAATGAGCTTCGGCTGCTTGTAGAACGCACGCCTGGAAGAGGTCGCTTCTCAGCACCGAAAGCAGCTAGGGAACCTGGAGAAAGGCAAATCGTTAAACCGAGAAACGCTCCTTCGCTCTTTCCTCCTCCCTCGAGAAGCAGTTATCTAATGAGCGAGGGAATGTGTGAACCAATGAATCAACCAGTCCATCCCCAAATTACGCTCTTTCCAGGGCCGGACACCGGAAACTCGCCTGAGGAAGTACGGCTTGGCGAAGAACTTGAAATCAACCCCCTCGAAGTAGACATCGAACTCGGAGACTCGGGCGTAGGGCACGCGGATGGCGATGGTCAGGAAGTCGGGGTCCTGGCTCAGATCGAACGCTGGAGTTAGCATCCCCACGCCACACTCAGATACCGGAGCCGGTCCCTCTCACAGCCGCTGCCTTCCCGACGCTCAAACTCCGCAATTAAATTCCCACGCGGCTGCCCGCCTAATGTTAAGTCAGGGTGCTTCCGGTCAGAAACGGAAGTGCTCGTGCGTGGGACAGGAAGTCCCACCTCACGCCGATCTCCATAGAGACAGGACGCTCTTAGTGAAGAAAGGGCGTGGAAAAGCGGGGTTTTCTCCGCAGGAATTGAACCGAGGAGATAAGTTTAAAGAAGCCAAACAAGAATCACCTAAGACCTACCAAGTCTCTTTCGAGGTTCTGAGAGATGATTTTTACAAGCACTGGCTTTGCTGGTGAACAGACCTGGGTTTGAACCCCTTCTCGGCCACTTCCCAGCTGTAAGACCTTAGGAAAGTTACAAAACCTCTCTATGCCTCAGGTATCTTTTCTGTACAATGAGGATAATACTAGAACCTACCCCACAAAAATGTTGTGAGAATAACATGAAACTATGCACGTACAGCTCTAACCATGTACCTGGTAAGTTGCCAACGCTCGATGTGTTGAAGTAGCCACCGCAGTAGCGACAGCCACCTTCTTACCACTGTGGTTTTCCTTAGTGCTCACCTGCCTCGTCAACAATTCCCCTTTCTCCGTCTCCGTCTTTCTCGGCTGACTTCTCTCCGCCTCTCTCTACCCCTCCTTTTCCCCTCCCCCTGCCGCTTCCCCTCTTTTACTGCCACTTACGCTCCCCTTCCTAATTCCTTGAGTTTCCTCATTTACAGAGCGTCCATATCACTAATCTGTTACTCTGCTTTGTGAACTAGGAAGAACACGACTCAGAGAGGTTAAGTAATATATATTATAACCGTTCATTCTGTGATAACCAGAACGCAGACTGTCTCTTAAGCCCCGGTAGTGCCTGCACTGGTGAATTGCCGTCCCTCTAACAAATGGTACTTTCCCCCTTTCCCTTTTCTCATTTTTCTCCATACACTTATTGGAGGTCCTCTTTTCTGTCTCTTTTTGCCTTCTCTTCCTTGTATTTCCCTGTGCCCTTCATACTGTCCCAATGCCTGTCCCACTAGTCTCATTCTTTCCCTACATATGCCCTTGGCCTTCCCTCTCATTTTATTTCCTGTTATTCTACTAGTAGTTTGAAAAGTCCAGGAAATAGTACTTATTTCCTGGTTTTAAATGTTAATGGCAATGAGGTGAAAGTCATCTCCTAGGATGGTGGACCATATAAACCTCAAAAGCCTTTTCAACCTCCAATTGTTTATGAATCTTGAAAATTAATTAGGACTAGGGGAAAATATTAATAGGGAGCAAATAAAATAAAAATTTCAAAATAAAAACCACTCTGCTTAAGTCTGGGAGTTTTGATAAAGACAAAATAAGATGTTATGTATGAAACAATTTAAAGAGTATTCTTCACACATTCGCCCATTCCTTGGGTAACAGAGGTTTTTTAACTGAGTCACTTGAATACTGTCTATGTACCAGCACCCCACTAAATCATTTTTAGTGATCTCATTTTCCTCTCCTGACAGCTCTATGAAATAGGCATTATATATGCCTGTGGCTTGCACAGGATCACACAGCCAGTGAATGGTACAATTGGGATTGAACCCCAATTACATTCAATTGGGCCTTGGCTCTAAAATAATATAGACTTGACACGCTCTAATATTACCACTGACCCAATTTGTTTCATATTCTGACTCCAAGCCTGCCTGCTTTAGACTGTACTGAGCCTCACAAATAATTGGCACTCAATATTGAAAATGAATTGATGCAAAGTTGGAATTAGTAAAGCCCTCAAAATGCCCCTTGAGATAGGCCTTTGGCTGGATCATTCCAAATCAGCTTCTCTAAAAAGAATCATCTATAAGGGGCCTTCATTCCTGTAAGACACAAGCATTAATATTTTTAAATTATTAATGCCAGAGAATTAACTGCAACTGAAGCTCTGTCTAGGAGGAAACTCTAATTGAAAGCACTTTACAAAGTAGAGTTCTGCATTTTCTAGATACTTTATTCTGAGTTGGGCAACATAGACACTCACACACACACACAGGATTACAACACAGACTGTATGGTTCATTGCAGCTGCTAATTATAAGAAATTTATATTGCATCTGCTATATCACAAAATACTGATAGTTGCAACTGTGTAACAGGGTTTTGTTGCTTTTTTTGCAAACAGTAGTTCACTGTATTTTTGTATTTCTAATTAATGATAAATTACACAAGTTATAAATTCATTCTCTTTTTTAAAAAACACATTATTACAGATGAATGTCCCTTGACTGCCATCCAATTTTGGTCCTCACTCTCTTCCCCAGAAGTATTCTCTCTAACTACCCTTGCAGAACTTTTTACATTTCTGTAAACGTTTCTAGGTACCCTGCTACTCTATGTTTGTGGGTGCATGGGTACCACATACTATAAATATAAGTCCGCAACATTATTTTTTTTCACATTTATCATTTTTGTCCTTTTTAGTCCTTGTCATATTACTTTTTCCCACTCCTTATATCATAAAGGAGTTCATTCCCATTACTTTTTAGACCCTGCATTTTTTCTTTCCCTCTTTTTCTTTCTTCCCTCCTGCCTTTTTCCTCTTTTTTTTTTATTTATGTTTACTAGGCTCTCCCCTACCCCAAGTCCTCCCCACAAACCCCATTACAGTCACTGTCCATCAGCATAGTAAGATGTTGTAGAATCACTACTTGTCTTCTCTGTGTGCAACATTATTTTATTTTTTTACTTCACTACTATTTTTTCAGCAAATCTACAGTGACTCTTAGATCCAGTTGAGTTCATGTCTAGATACAGACATTACTTGAAAATAAATTATTTCAACATTTCATACTAACTCTGGTTTAAAAGAAAAACAAACATGAACGAAACATATTTTGTCATTTTTTTAGCTATTCAAAGGTTATAGTGTTCATTTTTGTTTTTCCATTTCCATAAGGCTTACTTGTGGATAGCCTTTCAGTGTCATAAAAATAGTTTTTCCATGGCCAGTTTATTGAGGGCAAGTATATCATACCATATCTGATTACATCAAATTAACCCCTCTTGTAACCGACTTAATTGTAATACACAAGATTCAAAATTAAGTGTTAAATAAATATCGTCTGTAAATAATTCCAATTTCGGCCTTATGATGAAGTTCTATTGTTAGAAATCTTTTAATGGTGAAATGCTCCTTGTTTCCAGAAGGTGGCATGCATATTAACAATTAAGACAATGTTACCACAAAGAACAGTTTTAACCTATGTGGGAAACAGCTTCCTGAATAAGCACTTTATAACTCTAGACCAATCTCTGAGCCATTTTTTGGAAGTGGTGGGAACTTACACAGAACTTGCAAGCTATATCTTAATATTTTAGTATACGTCATTTTAGACTCTTATTCTAGTCATAAAAGTGTAGAAAAAATTTTAAACACAAAATGGTATCATACTCTGTATTTTCATTTTTTCACCCAACATAGCATTAGAGTATTTTCATTTGGCTATTTTTTTTGCCAAAAGCATTGTACCATAATTGTATCCTTCTTATTTATCAGTGTTAATATTGTAACTCTTAAGAAATGAACAAGGTGATGATTGGTTTTGAAAAAGGAAAACCAGTAGAATCATAAACATAAATCACAGAAATTAGAACAAAAATACAAAAGCTAGAATATAAACTAGACATTTTGAAGTTTGAAAAAATATCCTTTTATATAACAGTGTAAATACAATAGGACTAAATTGCTTGAATTTTGCAATTCCCAGTTATAAATTGCTTCCAGGAGAGCTTGGATGAATTCATGGATAACTACAGATAAATACTGGATTGTAAAAGAGATTTAAGAGATGATTCCAATGAGATATAGACAGAGCAGACCCTTAGTCTGACACTGGTGATATCTGCCATGTTTTTAAACCCCTTTATAGTTAAGCACAATTCTCTTTGATTCTTGCACCAATCCTTCAGCGCATTCAAATTAGAGCTGTTAAAAGAGCACTGGCAATAACTTAGTGCAGTAATGGGTATTTCAGGTAGGATTTAGTCCAATTCCAATTTTATACAACCCAACAAAGCTCTGAAGAAAATCTAAAACAGCTACAGCTGACACCAGTAAGATGTTTGACAACATTTTTTTTGCAGTGTGCAGTTAAGGGCTTAGCAACTTGTATTTCAACATGTTAATCCCATCCCATTAGATAAAATGCAGATCACATAGGAATTTTAACTGAACAGCATTTGGAGCTTCCTTCATTGTTTAACATCATATATCTAAAAGACTCCACAGAAGGTACTGTTCTGATGTCCTGCCCAGATGCCCTTTATGGAACCAGGAAGCCCATCTGTCATGAGTAGCCAGTGTTGTTAATGGCTTGTCACTGACCCTTCTCCAAAGAACTAACTGCCCTAGACCTGGGTCTCTCCACCTCAAGCCTTTGGGACTACATAATTCTTTGTTGTCAAAGACTGTCCTGTGCATTTTAGGATATTTAGCAGTATCCCTGGCCTCTAACTTCACAATGCCAGTACCAGCCCTGCTGTTGTGACCATAGATACTGCCAGACCTTGCCAAATATCTCCTAGGGGACAAAATTGCCCGCAGTTAAGAATGATTGCTCTGGATTGATGGGAGTCTCCAGGAAGTAATTACTATCACCACCACCACCACCCCCAGCCCCACAACCATGAGGACTGATATGGGGTACAGAAGGCTCAAAGGCACAGATGACTCTGGTGCAGCTTATGTGTGTTTATGGGGCAAGGCCAATGTAGATTCTCCCCAAGCCCTCATCCTTTATCAGTTCTTCCCCTTCCCCTGTCCTCCTTCACTTACTTCCTTAAAGGTTTCTCCTGAGAATGGCTTCTCAATAAATCACATTCACCCAAATCCTTATCTCAGGCTCTACTTCTACGGAATAAGTCCAAGGCACCTGACCTATGAGGAAACCCTTAACATTCTTCACACTCCTGCAAACTAGTGGAGAAAAGTATCTATACAGAATAAACAAGATAACTTTTTATTTTACTTTTTAATTTTCATAATCGACTTATCCTTAACTAATCTTTTCCTGGTTTCAGAGTGAACACGTTTATTTCTTCACC